AACCTGAAAAGGTAGATATGCTTCTCTTTCTTCATGATAATTTGTGAATTTTTAATATCTTTCTTGAGTATAGGGTTTCGTCAATCATGCTGGTTTTTTACTTTGCAAACTGTCAAATATTTATTGCATTTATTTACCTTGAGTCATGAAAGTTTTTAATCCAACATTTTTCATTATTTTTTTTTACAATATATTATATAATACAATTATCTTCTTTTGTTAAAAATTTATATTATAAAATAAATTATATTAATATTGTGCAATTAGATTATATTTTCAAAATACTATTTATTATACATGCATTTTTTTAAATAGCGATTTATTTTTATTTTATAAATTAAATAGTAAATTAAATACAATATATTATATTCTCAAAATATTTTCCATTTTTATAAATTAAATATTAGTTTTATTTTTTTTAAATGTAATATAAAATATAGTATAAGACAAATATTATTACCATTTTTATGAATATTAGTTTTATTTTTATAAATGCAATATAAAATATAGTATATGCTCAAAATATCCATTTTTATAAATAACAGTTTTATAATTTTTATAAATTTAATATAATATTCTCAAAATATTAGCTTTTTACATGTATTTTTTAAATAATAAGCGATAATACTCGTTGAAAAATATGGTAAAATACCTCAAGGTTAATTTTTGTATATACCAGGTCGAATATAATTTTAAAAAATTCCGAGCCGGGCCTGAAAATTTTTTTTTTAAGAATATCCGGGCCGGGCCTTAAATTTTTAAATCCGGGCCGGGCCGTAAAAAATTTTTTAAAAAAATATCCGGGCCGGGCCTTAAATTTTTAAATCCGGGCCGGGCCGTAAAAAATTTTTTTTTTAAATATCCGGGCCGGGCCTAAAAAATTTAAAACCGGGCCGGGCCGTGCAAATGGTACCTCTGCAGGTCTCTGATAAACATTAAATTTGATCCAAAAAAATAAAATTATTCCCCCCCCTAAATGATTAGGTGCCAGCAAGGCGTTAATGAATTTAAATTTATTATTTCAGAGAATTATTTAGTATATAATAATTTTTTATGATTATAAAAAAAACTTTTTTCTTTTTACTTTTAAAAAATATATTTATTATATACTAAGAATTAAGTTAAATATATAAAAATAAAGTTTTTTAACATCGTCGTACTTATAGTTTTTTTTGATTAAAATTTTTATTTTCCCTTCAATATGATGATAATGGAAACAGAAACAGATATAAAACAAGTAATAACAAAACCATATTTTTTTATCAAAAAGTTTTATTTAAATTAAATGATCTATCAAAATATTTATAATCTTTTATTAGCTTTTAAAAGTAATAAATTTGTTAGGCCCGGCCTGGCCCGGATCTATTAAAAAATTTTATAGGCCCGGTCCCATATATTTAAAAAAATTGAAAATGATATTTTATTTATTACTAAAAACATAATTTTTATTAGGATCAAGAGGACAATTACTTGAGTCAAACTCAAAGCTCTTTTTCAGAAGCTAATACGTGATTGTATAGAAATAGGATGGCTTCACAAACCCTAAAACAATGCCTGTGCCTGAGTTATTGGGATGTAGATCTTTTGGGATAAATGTAAATATTAATGTATACTTTGTTGTGATTGTGTTTTTAGACCATTTTAACATATATTTAGTCCGAATAATATTTTTTTAAACTTTAAACAAGAATTTTACCTTCCCTCCCCTCTCCCAAAAAAATTAGTAAAATTTAATGATTATTTAATTCTTCCAATATATCTTTATATTTATTTTGAAGCTTTCCGGAAGAAAAAGATTTGGCAAATGAAGATGAACAAGACGATATTTTTATATATTTTATTTGATTTTTTAATATATTTTATTCGATTTTTTTATTGTAATTGTATAATTTTATTTACCATGATTTATAAAGATTTAAATAAATAAAATATTTCAATCGACTAAATTTGAGTTATAATTTTTTTTAATAAACAAACCCTTACTGTTTTGAAGAAATCAATAAATTACTAAAATTCAGGTCATTATTTCAGGAAAAAAAGAAGATAGTTTGGGGTTCATAAATTCTATGAGTTTTTAAAAAAAATATATATCAATTAAACATCTTAATCCTCAAAATTTGCCTCTTATTACCTCATCCTTGAAGATTATCTTTTACATTTCAATTTCAATCAGAGGTAATAATACGACAATTTACATACATAACGTTTTTTCAAACGGTTTTTGATGTTACGAGCAACCTTTTTTTATTTCCAATAATTTTATAGGAATTGATTTTTTCGATTAAGTTCATGTTATCAAAATTTCCGTTATATAGAATTTAAAAATCCTGAACCTAAATTAAACCCTAATTTTTGGTAATCTAGCAGATATTTTTATCTTTTAATAATTAAATGTTAAGATATAGACATGTCAATTTTTTTCACGAACAAATTTGAGACCAGGTCAAAATTATATACACCATATAAAGGTTGAACTATACTTATTTGATACCCATCCATTATCATATCAATATTTGGTGCTGATAAAATAATTCCTGACCTACGTAGAAATAGCTTCACTCATCTAGACATGGTTTGCTACTTATTCAATAGATCTAATTAGCTAGCGATTGATACCTCTAATAACCATATATTTATATATATTAATAAGGTCAAGAAAAATCAACTTAAGATATATTGATCTGTGCTAGGGGTTCGTGCTCATAGCTAGTTAAGTCGATTTTAAGATCCAAGCCCCTACAAAACCAACCAATAAATAACAGTTATATGATAAGAAAATTTAAATTAACCTATCCTATTTATTGAGTTCACGACTCAAGTTCAGAACTCAAGTAGTAAAAATGATTCGAGTTATTGATACTTCGACACGGAGTCATGATTACTCGACTATCTAATTTTAAATTTAGAAAACAAAAATATCGTAATTAAAAATAACTAATTTGAAATATATTAGAGTCTAGTCGATCAAATTTATATAACTATTCGTCCTCTAATTGACTCAAGTAAATCTATTTACGACTCAAGTAGGAAGTCTAAAATAAAAAAATTATATCTTGTTTAATAATTAATTTGAAATATTCGTCCTCTAGTCGTCTACTCAAGTTCATAAAACTATTCGTTCTCTAGTCGACTCAAGTTTATAAAACTATTCGTCCTCTAGTCGACTCAAGTTCATAAAACTATTCGTCCTCTAGTCGACTCAAGTATATAGATATGAGTTCACAACTTGAGTGGACTTTAATTCACGACTTAAGTTCATAATTTAAGTCGCGACTTGAGTTCACAACTAAAGTTCATAACTCAAGTTCATAAGTTCATAACTCAAGTTCATAAGTTCACGACTCAAGTTCATAACTCGAGTCGTAAAAACAAGTCGACTTATCGACTCAAAACTCGACTTGAGTCGTAGTTAAGTCGACTCTGCTGAGTCGTTTAACACTAATTATAGGTGATAATAATGTACAACTTCCAACCCCAATAAAGATTCGCCATTTTATATTTTTTTAAATAAATTTAGATTTTATTGATACCTTAGGTAATGACAATGAGAAAAATGTTTCCCACAGGGTTGCCAGGTCTCCCCCCATCAGCGGGTGACTCCAATAATTTTTTAGTTTACTCGCAGACATCTCACTCCCACAAAACTACCGCAATTAGAAATCTACAGCAATTTTTAAATTTATCTCGCACAATATTTTTTTTAGCATTTCAACGTTTTTAATATATAAATAATAATTTTGAGAAACAGTAATTGATAATTTTTATATTTTTAAAAATAAATTTTAAATATTTATTCAAAAAACATGTCTAGTTTGTATTTCTTTCTATTCTTACCCCAATTATATGTTTTATTTTTATCCAATAATAAATTAACATCGTTTATTCATATTTTATCATTTTCATGTGAGTGTGTGTATAACATTATAAGGCTAGGCGCTTAATTATCACGTATCACATTTAAATATATAATAAGGTAATATTGTACTTAATTCAATGATAATTATTTTATTTATTATAGTTCAATCACATTATTATAATCAGTGCAAATGAGCAAGGCTATCACGAATGTTTTAGGACCAGAATTCAGGAGGTCAATTCTCTGCGCTGATAATGCCTCAGTGAATTCAAAATCAGGAATGTATTTACAGAATTTTGACTTAATGCCAACTGGCTGTATATACCATATACTCTATTTTGAAAATGCTAATTTTATATTTCTTTATTTAAATAACTCTAATAACTTTGATATTGATATTATATCCCCTGTAGATCCACTTAACTATTGGAGAACTAATGAGAAAAGTATCCAACTTTGTCAATTGTTCTTATGAACTTTTTTAGATATTAAAAATTAAAATGTCCTTTTTTGGTATCATAAAAACACTTTTCTTAAAATAAATAAACCATTTTGTATTTAAAAATACTTTGGTGGAAATGATAAGAAAGAGATTTGCCAAAGCTATCAAGATTAGCAAGAATATTATTGGAAATTCCTGCGATTTTGAATGAGGATTTAGAAATGCTGGAAGGTTTTTAACAAAGAATGTGTTTAAATTCAGAAAATGGCAATTCATTTATTTTTGCATTATAATTACATATAATATCAATTTTATATTTACATTTTTTTCATAATTTGATCAAATAAATTATCCATAATTTAAATTGAATACTAAATTATATAACTTTTTGTAGAGGTATAATGCAAAAATTTTTTTTATAAGATGTTTATAAAATTGAAAGAATGGCCAAAATTTAATTTTATAATAATGGGCTTGAGTTAAAAAAATTTTATAAATAATGGGTGGGCAGGTAAAAAATTTTAGAATAATGGGTGGGTGGTGGGTAAGAAATTTTAGACTAATGTGGGTGGGTGGGTATATTTTTTTTAAAAATTATGGGTGGACTGGGTGGGGAATTAATTTTTCTCTGACAACTCTAATATTAAACTTATAATTAAATATTGTGCATTTTTTTAATAAAAATCATAATATAAATATTACTTGGGATAATAAAATATGAAACTCTGATTTTCTTGAAAAATAGTCATGTTCAAGCCATATTAATAAGGCATCAAATAATTCTTCCTCTCTTGAAATATTTATATCATCATCAGCAATTATTTCTTTTAAAATTTTAAGTGAATTTAATTGAATAATCATATAATACCCACTAATTTTTTTGATTCTAATGCTAAATATTCATCATGTTTAATAACCTTCAAAAAGTGTGATAGAATTTCTAATTTGGCATTATTTTGTAAATCAATACAATTATGTGATTCTGCAAAACAATGAATTCCAATGCAATTTGTTTCATCAATATGTTTTTTCAAAAAATTGCAACAAGCATCTCTTATTGATAGAAATTGAAGAAGGTTGGAAGCTGACAATAAATTTTGAACATTGCTTTTGTTTATAATAATCTTAAATTTTTTAATAATTTTTTTTTATAATTTGATATATAACCTCTGAGCTATAGGCATAATCAATCAGGGCAGTGAATATGTTAACATCTATACCCTTAATTTCAATAGTATTTTTAGAGCTTTCAGATAAGTTACAAGTAAACATAATATTAAAATAACTGCTTGATGCTGCAAGTATAACCTTGTGACAAAAAAACTCGTGTTGATTTACAATTAATATTATGTCACAGAATTCACGAACATTTTTAAGTTGTCTCAAACCTTGTAACAGCTATATATATTTAACAATAGGTACATTTTATAATTAAACCTGCTTAGGATAGGTTTTATCATAGTATAATATTTCCTCATTTTCAGTAATCAATTTGTTAACGGCGGTAGACAATTTTTGTTTAACGTCACCCATTAGATGTAACGATTTACACTGAATTCATAGTGAAGAGCGATCGCGATTTAGACGCGATATCGCCGATCAGATTTTCATTCATTTTGCAAAGCGATTGTTAAAACAGGCACTGTTTACTGCGGATACGACTTTATATTAATTCAAAATGGTAGCCATCCTCAAATTATTATTTTTTTACAGAATGATGTTGAAGAGTAGAAGATTAAATAATCTTAATATTAATAAAAGAAAGGAAGGTGAATTTTACATCCCTTTTCCAAAACTATTAAAAAATGACCCAAAATTTTTTAACTATATGAGAATGACAAAAGTAATTTTATTCTATTTTATCTATAATTTATTTTAATTTAGGAAACATTTTATTATATTCTAAAATATATAAAACCATTATTATATACTAAACGTACAAATTTCATTAAACATTCTATAAGTGTAGAAGAAATGCTTATGATTTGTTTAAGGTAAAAATAAAGCAATTTATTATTTAAATATGTTTTTTATTTAGATATTTAGCAACAAGCTGTAGATACCCTACTTTGGCCTATTCTTTCAAAATAGGCATATCTACAGTCCAGAAAATAATTAGCACAACCTGCCAAGCTATATGGCAAACTTTGGTAGGTAAACATATGCCACCACCTACTTTAACTGACTTTGAGGATAGCAAAGGTATAATATAGTGTATATTATATATATTATCATTTAAAATGAGTTTGAGGTGAAATGAAATTTACCAAATTGTGTGGGATGTATTGATGGAAAACACTGCAGAATTAGAAAGCCACCTCATTCTGGCAGTGGGTTCTACAATTATAAACACTTTTTCTCTGTGGTTTTACAAGGTTTGTGAATTTGTTTTTTATTTATGCTAATTAAATATTTCCATATTAATTAAACATTGTAATGAAAACTTGATAATTACAAAAATATAATTTTTGAAAAAATATATTATTTATATATTGTAAAAACAAGGAATTGTGGATGCTAATGGAAAATTCATAACTGTCGATGTTGGAAGTTATGGGAGTGAATCTGATGGAGGTGTTTTTGCCAATTCAAAAATATATAAAATGATAGAAAAGGGAGACATACAATTACCTCCTTATAAAAAATTGTCGAATTCAAGTCTCCTTTTCCCACATTTTTTTGTGGCTGATGATGCCTATCCTTTGAAGTCCTATATTTTAAAGCCTTATAAAGGTATAGTAAAAGAATATATTAACTTAATTATATCATATTTATGTAATATATTAAAGCAATTTTTTGGGAATTATTAATGGCCATTATTTTAATTATTAGGAATTTAAAATTTTATTAGTATTTTTATTATTTATATGTTAAAATTTGTTTCCCTTATTATTTTAAGGTATCCTTACCCCTCAACAAGAGGCCTTTAATTATAGGATATCTCGTGCTAGGATACAAGTCGAATGTGCATTTGGCATCTTGAGAGCTAAATGGATGATTTTTGATTGTCCTTTGGACACAAAACTATCACTAACTGAATATATCATAAAAACATGCACATTACTACATAATATAATTATTGATAAGGAAAGATTTATTTCTTTTAATTCTAAAATAAAATCACCCCCTAAAAAATTATTTAAACCACAATCCATAAAATCAGCAACAAGTATTGCAAAGTTTAATAGAAATTTATTATGTTTATATTTATATAAAAATCCCATATTATAGATATTTTGTATTTTATATAAATATTTAGTTTTATATTTTATATAAATATCTTGTTTTGTATTTTATATATATTATAATAAAAATAAAGTTATTATTATTATAGTCTAAACTCATTATATATATTTGTAGGAATATGTCACTAAAAAAGTTATATAGATGTTCTAAATTCATCTATTTAAAATATTTTTATAAATCAAATAAACAAAAATTACCAATGTCCTTAAACTTTCTCTAAGATAAAGATCATTCATTATAAATATTATATATTTCATTATTAATTACCAAACTCAATACAAAGTTTAATTATAGCAGGACTTTTGGGAATAATTATATCATTCAATTCAATGTATTTCACAAAATTTTTATTTCAAATAATATAAATATTAACAAAATATATATTTCTAATACAAAAATATTTACAAAATAATTTTAATCGTTTATAATATCAAATATTTTCTTTGATATATCTTTTTTTTCCTGTATGGTAGAAATATTTAATTTTTGTTGTAACATTAAACATATTCCATCATATACATATTCAGTAGGTTTATTTTTAAGCAATTCCAGTGTTATTAATAATTTTTCTTTTTCTAATTTAATTATGTCCCTATAATATTATGATCTGACCGAATAGCGAGCTCAAAACCGACCACTTACTAAATATTCGATATACCAAATTTGGTAGTAATATTATTTGGAAAATGTTGATTTTTGGTTTTTTTATCTATAAATACGTGCAAATCATTATCCCAAAAAATATTTTAAAAATATCATGATTTGACCGATAACCGATTTGAAACCGAAATACTGCGTTGCTAGCGTTATCCATGGAAAATTCTTCATTTTTGGTTTATAAGTGAACAATAAGGTGTTAAGCATTAAATAATATTTTAAGAATATTATGATATAACCGAATGGCGAGCTCAAAACCGACCACTTACTAAATATTCGATCTACCAAATTTGGTAGTAATATTATTTGGAAAATGTTCATTTTTGGTTTATTTATCTATATATACGTGTAAATCATTATCCCAAAAAATATTTAAAAAATATAGTGATTTGACCGATAACCGATTTGAAACCGAAATACTGCGTTGCTGGCGTTATCCATGGAAAATTCTTCATTTTTGGTTTATAAGTGAGCAATAAGGTGTTAAGCATTATAAATAATATTTTAAAAATATTATGATATAACCGAAGGGCGAGCTCAAAACCAACCACTTACTAAATATTCGATCTACCAAATTTGGTAGTAATATTATTTGGAAAATGTTCATTTTTGGTTTATTTATCTATAAATACGTGCATATCCCAAAAAATATTTTATAAATATCGTGATTTAACCGATAACCGATTTGAAACCGAAATTCTGCGTTGCTAACGCTTTCCGTGGAAAATTCTTCATTTTTGGTTTATAAGTGAACAATAAGGTGTAAAGCATTATAAATAATATTTTAAAAATATTATGATATAACCGAATGGCAAGCTCAAAACCGACCACTTACTAAATATTCGATCTACAAAATTTGGTAGTAATATTATTTGGAAAATGTTCATTTTTGGTTTATTTATTTATAAATACGTGCATAACTCAAAAAATATTTTATAAATATCGTGATTTAACCGATAACCGATTTAAAACCGAAATTCTGCGTTGCTAACGCTTTCCGTGGAAAATTCTTCATTTTTGGTTTATAAGTGAACAATAAGGTGTAAAGCCTTATCCTAAATAATATTTTGAAAATATTAAGATTTGACCTAATGGCGAGCTCAAAACCGACCACTTACTAAATATTCGATCGACTAAATTTGGTAGTAATATTATTTGGAAAATGTGCATTTTTGGTTAATTTATCTATAAATACGTGCAATTCATTATCCCAAAAAATATTTTAAAAATATCGTGATTTGACCGATAACTGATTTGAAACCGAAATACTGCATTGCTGGCGTTATCCATGTAAAATTCTTCATTTTTGCTTTATACGTGAACAATAACGTGTTAAGCATTCTCTTAATATAATTTTTTGAAAATATTATGATTTGACAGAATAGCGAGCTCAAAACCGACCACTTACTAAATATTCGATCTACCAAATTTGGTAGTAATATTATTTGGAAAATGTTCATTTTTGGTTTATTTATCTATAAATACGTGCATATCCCAAAAAATATTTTATAAATATCGTGATTTAACCGATAACCGATTTGAAACCGAAATTTTGCGTTGCTAACGCTTTCCGTGGAAAATTCTTCATTTTTGGTTTATAAGTGAACAATAAGGTGTAAAGGCTTATCCTAAATAATATTTTGAAAATATTAAGATTTGACCTAATGGCGAGCTCAAAACCGACCACTTACTAAATATTCGATCGACTAAATTTGGTAGTAATATTTTTTGGAAAATGTGCATTTTTGGTTAATTTATCTATAAATACGTGCAAATCATTATCCCAAAAAATATTTTAAAATATCATGATTTGACCGATAACCGATTTGAAACCGAAATACTGCGTTGCTGGCGCTCTCCATGGAAAATTCTTCATTTTTGGTTTAATAGTGAACAATAAGGTGTTAAGCATTATCCTAAATAATTTTTGAAAATATTAAGATTTGTCCAAATGGCGAGCTCAAAACCGACCACTTACTAAATATTCGATCTACCAAATTTGGTAGTAATATTATTTGAAAAATGTTCATTTTTGGTTTATTGTCTATATATACGTGCAAATCATTATCCCAAAAAATATTTTAAAAATATCGTTATTTGACCGATAACCGATTTGAAACCTAAATACTGCATTGCTGGCGTTATCCATGGAAAATTCTTCATTTTTGGTTTATAAGTGAAGAATAAGGTGTTAAGCATTATTCTAATTAATTTTTTGAAAATATTAAGATTTGACCGAATGGCTAGCTCAAAACCTACTACTTATAAAATTTTTGATCGACCAAATTTGGTAGTAATATTATTGAAAAATGTTTATTTTTTTTATATATATCTATAAATACGTGTAAAACATTATCCCAAAAAATATTTTAAAAATATCATGATTTGACCGATAATAACATAATATGACCTCGGCCTGTAAATTTGGAAAAATTTTCTTTGTATTTTTATAAATTTTGAAAATATGATCCGAAAAAAATTTTAAACCCTCTATTATATGATTTTCCAGTTATTGAATTGATATTTATTAAATCCATTCTTTTAAATTGGCAAAATCAATGTTTAATTTAATAAGATCTTAGGACCAGGGCATTTGACTCAGGACATGGGTATTTTGTAATAATTTGAGAAAATTTAAAAAATATAATATATATCATCAAGTCTATCTAACAATGAGTGAGAGGGTGTGATCGATTTATAAAATATTAAAATTGGTATAAAAATCTTGTTTTCATCCATAAAGATAACCTTTTCAACTAAATTTTTTTAAAAGCCTTATGTTTGCAATAAACTCACGCTTAAGAGGAATTTAAATAGTATCTGTTTGAAAATAAAGGACTATATAACAAATACAAACAATATTATATGTATAAATTATATTTAGTCTCTCTTTAATAAATACATTTTGTATTTTTTATTTTTTGGCTTCTCTTATATTTGGATATAGCTATGTTATTCCTTTCAATCAAATATATTTTTTATAAACGTAACATCGTGTTTAATTATTTAATAAAATATTAAAATCATAAAATATACAAAGATGCTTTCTACAATTTTTATAAAAATAATAAAGATTTATATAAATCACTATTTAATTATTGTCATTAAATTTTATAAAGTTTGTGGCTAAAGTTAAATGGATCTCATAATAAAAGGAAGGACGCTTTGCAATGCTCTGAATCCATAATTACGTAGAACATATCTTCGAAAAATATATGATTGAGTTCTTACATGGATAATCAAATTATTTGAAGATCGACCTTTTCACTAGGGATTAATTAAAATAAAAACGAGCGAAGAAATTGAATATTCAAGTATCGGGATTCTAATTTACATTTATTTTGATCATAAGTAACTCGATACTAAGAAGGCATATTGGCTAGAATCTATACCCTCTCGAGAAGTTCATAGTGATGGGCTTAGAAGTTCTGGCCATGCCTACCACTATCATATTCATATGCAGTCTCTAGGTTTTAAAGCTTTCAAAGTTCGCACATAATGTTATTGTAATAGAAAATGCTATTTTATATATATATCTATTCGCAAATATCTAATATTTTATTTTATTGTTTTCTATTTCGAGTGTAATAAATTGCTGGAATCTTCATCTATAAATCATTGATAAACTGGTATGATTAGAAAGAAAAAAGATGAGAGAAGATATAAAAAGTAGCAAAAAGGAAGAGAGAAGAAAAATGTATGAAGAAAGAATCGAGATGAAATAAGATAAAAGAAAATCTAAAGAAGTAAGACAAAATGGTCAGCTTTGAGCTCGGCATTCGGTCAAATCATAAACCACGTTATTGTACACGTATAAACCAAAAATGAAAAATTTTCCATGGATAACGCCAGCAATGAAGTATTTCGGTTTCAAATCGGTTATCGGTCAAATAACGATATTTTTAAAATGTTTTTTGGGATAATGATTTGCACGTATTTATAGATAAATTAACCAAAAATGAACATTTTCCAAATAATATTACTAACAAATTTGGTCGATCGAATATTTAGTAAGTGGTCGGTTTTGAGCTCGCCATTCGGTCAAATTTTAATACTTTCAAAAAATTATTTAGGATAATGCTTAACACCTTATTGTTCACTTATAAACCAAAAATGAAGAATTTTCCATGGAGAGGGCCAGCAATGAAGTATTTCGGTTTCAAATCGGTTATCGGTCAAATAACGATATTTTTAAAATGTTTTTTGGGATAATGATTTGCACGTATTTATAGATAAATTAACCAAAAATGAACATTTTCCAAATAATATTACTAACAAATTTGGTCGATCGAATATTTAGTAAGTGGTCGGTTTTGAGCTCGCCATTC